GAGAAAGTCGGAAGGCGGATGTTGCTTGTGATGAGGGAATCGTTGTGGGAGGAGCAGATTGTGTAGGATAAGGGATTTGTGTGAGAGGAGGGAAAGCCTATGGCCTTAAGTTTGCAAAGTGAAATGCAGACAACATATTGCAAGAAACGGGGATATCGGGATCTTTGGGCAGGGTTGACTCTGAATATTTGGAGCTGGGAGTGAAGGATGGAATGGGACCAGTGTGAAGGAGGGATGTGTAGGCAGGCAGGGATTGGGACACAGGATGTGGTGTGGGAATGGGATCAAGTGATAGGGGAGTTGTGCAGCTGATGAGAAAATTGAATGGTAACACTGCGACCTTCGCGGATTCTTGTATGTCCTCTCAGTGAGACGGCCTTGCGCACTGAAGGAACGCTGAAATGAAAGTTTCTTATCCTAAAGGCTCGTACTCTGTAACTGACGTATTGACCCTCGGTCAGGGAGTGCTGGGATTGAGGGCTCCCAGCTAATTGCAGCCAGCATGTTGCCTCCAAGTCGTGTATGGTTAAAATCTCTCGGCTCTACACACAATGAATACGGTTGAAGCTGCGGCAATTTTGTTATTGGGTGATGGTGAAGGCCAGATCGCACTTTGGTATAGGCATTAATTCTGGTGGGTTGAAGGCATGCGTTAATGGGATAGCATGTAACCCAGGCTAGGTGAACTAGCAAGCCTTCCGGCTTGTAGGATTGACGAGAGAGGGTTATTCTGGCAGAACACGGGATATTTCCCCTACCTGGTGACTCGAAGCCTCGTAGATGACAGAGCTATGAATCTAATGCTGGACTCAAATTTCAGCGAGAAATTAAATAATACATGATACCGAGACATTCGAAATCGGCTTCCGCCCCAAACACTCTTTAATTGCTTAGAAACCCCACTTGTAGATCTTTAGCACCTTGGCAGTTATGATGATGTTTTGTATGTTACCAGCACTGTATAATTCTGGAACTTTCGATTTCTTAGTGACATAGCAGTACAATACAGGCAACTGGTTAGTTAACGTTAATAAACGTGAACGTAACTCCCGGCCGCATCGGCCACCCGCCCGCGCCGGCCACCCAGTACACCGCCCTAGAAAGCCCAACACGTTCCTACATGCAACCACTCTTTTTATCAAAAGCAGTGAATTAGCAATGAGTAGTACAATGATTCTAGGGCGGTGTACTGGGTGGCCGATGCGGCCGGGAGTTACGTTACCCTTTATGTCTTAATGGATTGGACGTTACACTGTGAAGGCCATGAGTTCCCAATCTTGAGTGCAATTTCCATAAGAAGCCACCCGCGCTGATAGAAGGGGGCAGAGAGCCTTATAATCGCATGTCGACAAGAAGATAAAAGTTAGTGTTCAAATTCGGCTCCAGCCTCGTGGAATAACTCTTGTGTTACGGTAAAGTATGGCAAGATCCTTGCCATACTATATATAGCGGACCAGATCCTAGCCTGGTGCACATACTATTAAACATCTATCATATCATACACAAGTCAAACATTCAAACCTCCAAGATCACAGATCATTAGAAGGTCTTCTGTGTAAAAGCCATATAAGCCTTCCAAGGGAGCTTCCAATCCGAACGGAGAAGTTCAGGCTGGAAGATATCGAAATCGTGACTCTCTAGTCTATCCAGCCACAGCCGCGTTCCAACGGCCGGCATAAACACACCAAATGCACGATTGACCTCCTGTAGTGGGGTCTCATTCTGGGATTGGAAATCATACTGATGATCCTTTTCATGGCCGTGCTCAAACTCATGCCCTGCATCCTGCCCAGCACGAATATTGCTCAACATCTGCTGCACGGTAATCAGGTGATCGCTGGCCCGAGTGGCAACCGTGAAAACAGCATCCCGTAATCCTGGCGCCTCACTGCCCAGGCGGAACACCTCTTCTTCTTTTACCCCAGCCTGCGCCATTACATCCAATGGCAGCATTACGGCTCCCTGCTTTGCTCCTCCGGCCATTGTCGTACCAGCCTGGTCAGGACGCTGAGTCGATGCGCCCGGGAATGCCACCAGTGGCAAACCACGGAGTACAGCTGTGATACCGGCTGCCTTTCCAATATGCGATGCCACATGGTCCGCCGTTACGGATGTCATGGGCAGTGCTGAGAGTGTCAAGTAGAGCAAGGTCGAATAGGTGCTTTCCGCATAGGATTCGAGGGCAGCGATATCAGGGTACGGGTCGTTGGTAAGAGTCTGCTCGCGGGCATTGATCATTCTATTCAGCCAGCCTTTGCTAATTCGCGCCCGACCTTGCGTTCGTTCGGTGAGGTCTGAGATGGCGGAGGCGAGGAGAATGGCAATAGGTTCTTTCGGGGGGGACCCGGATAGTGTTTTGGCCATTGCATCGCGCCAGAATTGAAGGCGCATAAGCCCGATCGTGTGGGATGAGGTGGTATCAGGGATTAGGGAAAGAGAGACATTAAGAGCTCGAAGAGCGATGTAAAAGGTTTGCGCCGTTCGGGGGATGAAGGTACTGAGGGTATAGGAGGGACGGTCATATTGTCTGGCATGAACATAGACTGTATTAGATAGGTCGCCAGCCAAGATGGGTAATCGAAAAGACTTTACAGAAGAAGATTCGAGCAGTATTTCAGTGCTGCTTGCACTTCAGCTTCACTTGCTCCGGTCACTGGGGCGGCGACAGCGCGAGATTGGCTGAAACAGCGTTCTTGCGATCGCTGGACCTTCTGACGGGATATGCTGCATCGAAATAGCGGTTGCTGGGTTATGCGGCCCGACCGGATGACGTTCTTGGAAAGAGACATTTTGAAACAAGAGAACTCTCACTAGTGGCCGGGATAATTATCAGTATGATTAGTATTCCCGCAGTGAGCACTGGTTTCTTCCCCAAAGCGGTGGATGCCGGCATTACCTCGCTCCTGTCACGTGCTTGACAGGACCGTTTGAGACTGGGCCGAGTCGTTTCGATATCTTCAGTAGGGGATCGGGCAAATGTCACTTTTTGATGTTGATTGCCGGCGAAGTGGGTATACAGTCTGATTGAATCGCTGTATCAAGATCAATGAGAGAATATATGTTGAACGATGACCAGAGGCCTGGGTCCGTACAGCATCATGTAGAGCATCCTATTTAGGATGCGGTATGCAGAGCGGTGAAAGCACTGACAACTCAAAGGACCAAACTTCTGTATCTTTCAAGACCACATGGTGCATTCAGCTTCACAGAAAATAGTCTACTGTGCGTTATCCACCAGACTTATGTGTGCCAATGACGCAACGGCGCAATACAATCCTGCTAGTCATGGGACCGTTGTCTCAAGTGGAGATGCCGATGGAAAGGGTCAGTAGTAGTCCGGTCTGGTCAGTTCTGGTGACCGAGTGTCCCCGACCGAGGGATTCACCTCCTACGTCCAGCAACTCCCCCGCATTTCGCTCTCCTTGCGGCTGGACCATCGATTGCCCCGGCTGAGTTGCGGCGTCTTATAATAGCGTGTCTCCGAAGATGACATTTGACTAAGTTCCAGTTAAGCTTCCGACTAGATTTCCCTGCCATAGGACATTCACAGGAACTTGGTTTCGAAACTGCCCGGTAGGTTGTTGCCGCTGTTCCTCGAACGGACCGAGGCTGGCTGTCGTCGAGTCCGGGGCAATTCATAATCTTACTAGCCTGTACCGCCCTGATTGAATGTGTTCCCTTACCGCTAGTAATCCTGATACTGGAAACAAAACATCCATCCATTCACCCTTTGGGTGACGGCGAATACCCTGAGGTAGCTGTTAGACTACCACTTACCGCCGATGTTGTATGTGCATTCATGGCTTCCCTGCTCAAGTGGGTCCGAGCATCTGTCTACTCTATTCTCGCAGAGCTCTCTCAAACACCTCGGTGCTTTCCAACTACCGGATTAGCTTCGAAGAAGAGCACTTCAACTCCTACAGGAATGGCCACTACTAACCTATTAACATCATTGACATCTCCGCTCTCTTAAGTGTCAGGTCATCGGGAAAATAGAATTTGGATCCTCATCTATTGCTTGGCTAGCCCAGGATCTCATCTCCAGTCTGTCCTTCCTGCTTCACACAACCAACCTGCGGACTGTGGCTGAGTGATATGCTGATTTCATCACTATGTGACTCTCAAGGTCTATTCCTGCGATGAATCTCATACCCAGAGAGTCAGAATACATCAGCACATAAGTCAAGCCAATCTATCCCATCCCGGATACGGCTAGGTACGAACAACACTCCATACTTTGGTACTCGACTCATGCGGATCTGGCTGGGGTCATTGGTCTTCGGGGTCATCCGCCGTTGAATCCTTTGTAATGGGGAAAGCGAAGCAACGAGTTCTTGACTGAAAGATATGTTGTCCTAGTATCTCGAAAACGATTGGAATCAGACTGAACAAACCCTGTAAGATAGTGAAAGCAAGACATCACCATCTCGCATACCGGAGAATTTAAATCGTCGGAGAAATCCCTTGAGAAGAACAACACAAAGGCTTTCTTACATCTCATGGGAGGGGTAATTCAAGATAGAAAGAAAGACGGCAACGGAGCTGTTGCGGGATCCGTGGCTAAAGGGAGAGACAATACAGCCTAGAAAATGCTGTCGTAGCCGCAAATCATGCTTGCAGCTGTACAGCTCTAATGGAAATATCAAAACCGTTCGGTACCCCATGGGGCCGGTGCCAGACCCAAAGCATCAACTGTGAAGACTTCAGAGGCATTATCGTGATGGCTTGAAATTGGGGCAACTCCGTCCCCACCGGCCCAAAGTAAGTTCCTCGGCGATCCGGTTGACCACATTACCCATATTACCGTCACATACGCAACATCCCCACCAATCAGCGGAGCCAACGGGAAAGATCCACCTCAGCCATGACAATACGTGACCATCCAGCAGTCGGCTGATCCTGGCTTCCATCCAGCCGAGGTATCTTTCCTTCTCTTGATCTTCAACTCGCTCTCTTATCTCATGTGGCCTTTCTCCCTGCTACTTTTTTAGCTCACGCTCCTCTCCTCTACTTTATACCCTTTGCTTAGCCATCTCTAACTCTTCTTCTCTTTCTCATCTTTTCCCCCCATCCCTTCACAACCGCGAGGCATGTTCGCGGCTTCGAGCAGAACCCGTCTCTCCACTCTCCCCCGGACCCGTCTCTCCCCCGCCAACTCGCTCCTCGCCAGATCTGCCGTCGTAAGCCTGTTCCCATACCACCAGAATTCGTGAATAGTATCGGCTAATTGTGATTTCTACCGCTTAGACACCCATAATGGCACCCCGTCGCAAAGCATCTTCGGTCCCTGAGGGTAAGCAATCACATGCGAACTCGGTTCGAGATCCGCTATTGACACGTTGTGGATGGATAGGCTACAAAGAAGATCTCTCCAAAGGCAATATGCTCAGATTCGAAGACTCCCTCCCCCGCCTGCCGGTACCCTCTCTGGAAGAAACGGGCCGTCGCTACCTCAAGTCCGTCCACGCGCTGGTCTCCGAGGCCGAATATGAGCGCACCAAGGAGGCCGTCGACGCCTTTGTTCGCCCGGGTGGTGAGGGTGAGCCCCTGCAGGAAAGGTTGCTCGCCCGCGCCGCCGACCCCAAGGTGAAGAACTGGCTTCTTGAATGGTGGAATCACGCCGCATACCTGGGCTACCGGGACCCTGTCATCCCCTACGTTTCGTACTTCTACTCCTACCGCGACGATCGCGCCCGGCGGGACCCCGCCAAGCGCGCCGCCTCGGTTGCTACCGCCGCTCTCGAATTCAAGCGCCAGGTGGACGATGGCTCCTTGGAGCCTGAATACATGCGCGGCCAGCCCATGGCTATGAGCACCTACCAGTACATGTTCAACTGCTGCCGTATCCCCGGTGACAGTGTCGATTACCCCCAGAAGTTCCCGGCTCAGGACAACGAGCACATTGTGGTCGTGCGCAAGAACCAATTTTTCAAGGTACCTTTGACCGTCAACGGCAAGCTCCTGAACAACTCTGAGCTGCAGCGCCAGATTGAGCGCATCTACGAGGTTGCCCAGCCCGCTCCGGCGGTCGGCGTCTTGACCGTCGCTAACCGTGACCTGTGGGCCGACGCACGGAAGAAGCTGCTGGCTGCGCACCCGGCCAATGAGCAGGCATTGCGGGACATCGAGTCGAGCGGGTTCCTTGTCTGTCTGGATAATGCCACTCCCGTCACACTGGAGGAGCGTGCTCACCAGTATTGGCACGGAGATGGTACCAACCGCTGGTTCGACAAGCCGCTGCAGTTCATCATCAATGACAATGGCACCGCTGGGTTCATGGGCGAGCACAGCATGATGGACGGCAGCCCCACCCACCGCCTGAACGACCACTTGAACAACCTCATCTTCAACCACAAGATCGACCTCTCCGAGCAGCCGGTGCGGTCCGACCTGCCCGACCCTCGTCCCATCACCTTCCACCTGGACGGCCCTGTGCTGGAGGCCATTGATGCCGCCAACAAGGAGCACCGCCAGCAGATCTCATCGCACGAGCTCCGGGTCCAGGCCTACCAGGGCTACGGCAAGGGTCTCATTAAGAAGTTCAAGTGCAGTCCGGATGCGTACGTGCAGATGATCATTCAGCTCGCTTATTTCAAGATGTACGGCAAGAACCGCCCGACTTACGAGTCTGCCTCGACCCGCAAGTTCCAGGAAGGCCGCACAGAGACCATCCGCACGGTGTCGGATGAGAGCGTTGCTTTCTGCAAGGCCATCAGCGACCCTGCCGTCCCCCGCGAGGAGGCTGTCCGTCTACTCCGCTCAGCACTGGCCGCCCACACGAAGTACACGGCGGAAGCCAGCGATGGCCGTGGTGTGGACCGCCACCTGTTCGGTCTGAAGAAGCTGCTGCGTGAGGGTGAGAAACTGCCTGCTCTCTATGAAGACCCCGCATTTGCGTACAGTAGCTCGTGGTATCTATCAACCAGCCAGCTGAGCTCGGAGTTCTTCAACGGCTACGGATGGAGTCAAGTGATTGATGACGGATTCGGCATCGCTTATATGATTAACGAGAACAGGTAAGCTCCCCTACCCATAAGTCTTGATCGTTGCTGACTAGTGGTTTAGCTTGAACTTCAACATTGTGTGCAAGCGCCTTGGCGCAGAGCGCATGAGCTACTATTTGAACGAGGCGGCATCTGATATGAGAGACATGCTGATGCCCGACTTGGCTGCCCAGAGCGAGAAGGCCAAGATGTAAGATAGATAGATACCTATATACCAGCGATACACTTTATTTCAGACCACAATTGAGGATATACACGTTCATAGAGAGCAGATAGATACATTATAAACCACTCATGTCCAGAAACATCTGAAACAACACAGTAATACTATATTTCCGCAACAGCCGATAGAATGATTCGGAAATCATAACATATTAGCTCGGAGATATTTCCTTGGCATACCAGTATATTGATCCCTCCCTCCTCGTCACCTTTTTACCGTATCTACAAATCGAATGGATCTATAATGTCTCACTAATCTTGCATGTGATTCTGTGCTCTGACAGTGTTATGATATGTTGAGGCGCGAAATTACTAGCAAAGCAACGAAACAACGAAAGACCAAGCGAACGAACGCGAATTGCAGCAACAGAGTGAGTTGAATTAGTAGCTATCTAGATGCTCTAGCAAAACAAAGCAAGAGGTCGTTTGTGGGCGGCCTGAGCGCCAGGCACATGACTACACCTACTCCAGCAGTTGCCTCAACACGGCCCTCTAGGTGAAGGAGCGTGCAGAGAGGTGTTAAATGAAGCCGTAGGTGTTCCCTAGATAGGCAATCTTCCGCATATTAAGCATCTTATCCAGGATGCTGAGCGGGAGGGGTAGCCAATGGGGTCATCACTAGGAGGCTACGGAAGGCACGAAACTTCTCCCGATCCAGCGGGTTGGTAAGGCCGTCTGCAGGGTTGCAAACGCCTGCAATGTGTTGGAATAATATAACATCCGATCTGATGAGGTCTGCCACGAATAAGTAGCGGTTATCTAGCCATCTGGTGGATCGGGTGTAGGTGCCGTGGTTAAGGATTCGTAGCCAATTGGCAGCGTCGCTGAACAGGGGTATCTTGCTGGTATCCGATATCCTGAGGTCAAACGCCTGCGCCAACTTCTTGACATACAGGGCATCATCGTACGCGCAGTATTCTGCAACGGTAGAGGAGGGTGCAACAACGCTCTGTTTGTTGGATGACCAGGTGATAGGGCCGCCAGCGTGATCCCATAGGAGGTAGTATCGCGTAGATATCTGTACACGGCTTTCAACGCCTTCGCATCCGCCGTGGTTGGGGCGTGCATGCGCCTCTGAAGGGGAAACGTTGCATCGGGTCTTGTTTTGGTGGTTAATCAATTCAATCTGCCTACAAGACTCTGATATTCGTTGACATCAACCCCTTCGGTCGACATCGAAGTGCGATCCGCCTTTGTGTAGGTGGGTGTCATGGGGATGGCAATGCCTGAGCAGGATTGCATTCCTGCAGCAGCGAGGCACTCCTCCACATAGGTGGGTTGCGCGAGCGAGATACTGCCTGCCTCGTAATCACGTAGAATATTGCAACCAAGCAGGACCTTCGGTTCGCCTAGTTCCTTGAGTCCGAATGCTTCGTTGAGGTGGCGCTTTACTGAGATTAGATCTGCCTGTTCAGGACCAGAAACAGCGGAGTCATCTATATAGATGATAAGCTATATCTTATTATTTCTATAAATATACAGATTCTCTAGCAGGGGTTTAAAGCCCACTTCCTGCAACTTTTTGTTGAAGGTGTGGTGCCAAAGGTGCGCCGCCTGCTGAAGTCCATAAAAAGGCCATTTTGAGTAGGCACACCCGTTCGGGGGGACCCTCGTGGAACTCTATTGGCTATTTCATGTAAACTTTCTTGCCTTCTATCTGGGTGTGTAGACAGGCAGATATAATATTACATTACTCTTAATGGAGGCCCTCGACGGCCATATTGACCATGAACATTTTAAGGATAATCTTGCTTACTACTGGAGCAAAGGATTCAGTATAATTAATATCAGGTATCTGACCGTTATTACAGACCACCCAGTGAGCATGAAATTGTATGACAATACCTTCTGTGTTGATCTTCAGTTCAAATGCCCACTTGCCTGGGATTATACGAGCGTTGGCGGGTCAGTCAACCACTACGTAGGTGTTCGTAGCAGGTGGTTCAGAGCTGCGCAGGGAGATCCTCAGCGAGGTACTTAGCGGTATCGATCTTTGCAATTGCTTCATGCAAAAGCGTGTTTTCAAAATTGATCGAAGTGCCCGTCTCCGGCATGATCGGACCCTTAGGGGTAGGCGCGGCAGCTGCTCTACCAGGATCTTTACAGTCATCTCTATACGTACGATTCTCATAAAAAGTCACGTCCCTCAATTTCTTCACCTTGTTCAAATTGGGATACTAATCTAGATATACATAGCCGTGATCCCTGTCGGATCTGACAAAGTAGCTAGTTTCTGCGCGGGGGGACATCTTCCTGGATATGATCTAATCCTCTGCAGGTATATATTGGTAGCAGCGGCATTTAAAAACACATAGAAAGTTAAGTGAGGCATCAGGATTCGGAAGGTTGTAATATAACCAATATAGGTAAACAGATGTTTATTTAACCTCACTTCCTGCGGGCACCAGGCGGTTCAGGATCTATACGGCAAGCCTTACAGTGAATAGTCAGAGGCTGGCAGGCAGTCCAGAGTCAAGTATTGTAATCCTACTTATTTAGTTGAGTAAACTATCATAGCACTCAGCAAGGCTGTTTGCTTCAGATGTTCGAGGAGACAATATTATAATTTAGATTTCTTAATCTTCGTGATTTGCCTATTCTTTCAAGCGGTTGAATTCGCGGCCCCTGTCAAGGTGCCACACTGCCACGTAGCAGCCAACCATATTTTTATATCCAATATTGATTCAAATAAGTTCCGTAGAGGCATCATTCTTCTGCTTCAACATGGCTGTTCACACCAAACAAGTTACATTATTAACCAATATTAGGAAGTACTTAAATCCTCCATGCCTGAATAGGGTTACTTGCTACACATCAGCATGCCACAGCTGGATAGGATCAGCAGTCCTCAGGATAGGGTCCCTGGATACCAAACGCTTCGCTTTCTCTAGGGAACACGCCTCGCAGTGGAGGTCCTCACGGTGTTCGAGTTCAATTTGTTGATTTTTCGCAGCGGAGGCAACCTTCCTGCATGACCGTATCGCCGGTGCAGGAGCAGGGGGTCCACCACAGCGAGGGCCAACCCTGCATCCTCCGCACGCACGAAAAGCACGTTTTTGCATGCTTGCAGGTGGCCTACCACTTTGTCATCCTGCTCCCTGCGTAGGGTCAGGTCCTTTGTGTTCGCGTATATTCCGAATTCCTTGCACAGGCGGTCCGCCGAAAGGAGGCCGTAGGCGAGGTCCGGCTGGTAGAACGCTTTGACCTTGACCTCGAGGCGTTCGTTGTTTGCAGATAGGAACGGGGTCTGGTAGCCAGCAGATCTAGCAACACCAACACTCCCATCAGATGTTCCGTATTTGTAGAAGTTGGAGGCATTGAGTTCGTGATATTCGTTAAGCGAGGCGCGGTCAGGGGTCAGATGCTGGGAGCTTCCTGTACTGTAGATCCTGTCGGCTACGGGCAG